AGGAAACATATCAAAGATCATATATTAAAGTGAGAGAGCTGAAGAAATCCCAGCTCCTTGCAGAGACCAGAGGGGAGGTATTTTGGGCGGAGATTGAGAAGACACACCCTCAGCATGTTGTAGTCCTTCACATGAACCATCACAGAGGGTGGATGCAGCTCCTTAATGTATAAAAGTTTTAGTTTCCTGCAAAACCAGTTAGTCTCCTGAATGCTGGTCCTGATATCCTGTTATTGGGTGGCTCATTTCCCTTGCAGGGTCCTATGGAGCCACCATTGTGTGTGCTAGTAAGTTGTGTGTCTTCACAAACACACCCGGCAAGACACCTGACCTCCCCCCTTCTCCATGCTAGGAGAGCTGCTGGAGATTGTGCTCTGTCCCCTGTGATCTTGTACTGGACAGGAAGTTCAGAAAAGCTGAGCTGAGAGAGTTGGAGTTGTTTGGAAATATGATGAGTCTAAGAGCTTGGACTAAAGTTTGCTGAGAAATGTATATTTGTTTAATCTAAATGAATTATTTAAAAAGGCGCATGCACAGTTCAGATTTTCGTCCGGGAGACGAGGAGAGACACAAGGTAAGTCTATGGACAGTGTGCACCTACATGCAGACACAGCGCTGGATCAGAGACCCACAGCAGCGCTGGGGAGAAGGCTAAAAAAAAAAGAAGATAAAATGTAAAAAATGTGTCAGTCATTTATGAACAGAGCCTGAAAACTAGCTCAGTCATGAAGGGGTTAAGAGACATAATTTAAGGTACGTGCTTACACTAACATTGGGGGGAGGGAAAAAAATGTATGCTTTAATGTCACTTCAGGGAACCAGCTGATATGGGGTAAACTAAAACTTTTCAACATCAAGGAGCCCAAACCCTTTTTATTTTAATATCACTTTAATGCTACTAATTGTATGAGGAATATATTGATAGATATGTGTTACTTGCAGATGTAAACCGCAGATCTTCCCATATTAGTAAGTTGCTGTGTACTGTTAAATTGTATATTTAATGTGGACTTTTCAGTAATATTACAAGGCTGCATGATTTCATTTTTGACATGTCACAGTATATGGCAACATTAGAGTTTTTAATAAATTTACCCCTTTTATCATTAACGAAGTGGCGTCACAAGGGGGAGTGGCCTGCACTGATTGACACCATCAGGAGGGGTGACACCAAAATGACAGTCATGGCATACCTTATCCCGCTGGATGAATGTCCCCTCCTCTAACACCGCTGGTGCTTAGTCCATTGCTGTCAAATGGATAGTGCCTTCAGCTCTGTGTGAGCTCCAACCACAGATCCAAATTGAACTTACATAGATCTTTCTTTTTTTTCCTGAGAGGGGGAGCAAAATGAAGGTAAGTATAAGCTGCTGGTGATGGAATTACAAGAGTGAACCCGTTGCTTTGCCTTGCATGGGCAAAATGCAGGTACATTTCTTGATGGGCAGTTATTTATTGTTGTTATCTATGTATTTTCATATGTACAAATACATTTTAATGAGATATTGGATTGAATAAATTAAGAATGTTAATTTAAGACAATGGATGGTGTTGTGCCTCTTAAAACCCCATAAGATATGTATTTGTGACTACCATTATTTCTACATCTGATTAAGGTGCTAATTTAATTGGTTCATCTGGAGGAGATAGGAGGATAAAAAGAGTTGAAGTTTGAAAACTGGCAAACTTTTTAGTGTGATTTCCCTCACACTGCAAAGAAATCCTCTCACTTGTTGAATCTATAGGACAGAAATTGAAGGGAAATGTCCCTAATGAGACACAGATAACAGAATAAAAACATGTACTGTGGTTTTAACCCTCCTTTAATCCATCTAAAATAAAAATAAAAAAAATGTTTTGCTTTAGATTCACTTTAAATAAACAAGATTGTTTTTACACAATTTAATATTGTTTTTAATAGGCTAAGTAAATATATGGAGAATGGAATGTAAAGAGGCAGGATGGAATAAAAATAGTAGATCAACTCTTCTGCAAATATAAAGCAGCTACTGTATAGTGAGTATATTATATGCTTACCTTCTTGACCCCTCTTCCACCAGTATAAAGATTCATGCAACATGGTTTTATATTAAAATATGTACAGATTTTTAACAAGCACTTAAAATTAAAAATGTATGTGTTTGTATCTTAGTGTGTATGCTTGAGTGTAACCAGCGAAAAGAGCAATTCCAGCCTACATATTACAATCAGTCCATAGTAATGCTATGTCAACAAGAATTTACTACTAAAGGAAAACTACATTCTTTAAACAAATTGATATATACTATTGTTACTTAACCCAGTTTAACTTAATATTCTGTAAAACAATCTCTTATGATTTTCTTAACAAAAAATACTGAGATTTAATTAAATTTCAATGATTTACTTTTTTTACTTACCTAACTTTTATATCATATCAACAGTATTTTTCATAGAGAGGCAGAGCCAGCTGTCAACCAGCCAGTGGGGTGGATCTCGACAGTATTGTCAGGATCTGTCCCAGCTGTGGTGTGGCTCTGCGCTCTCGGCATATAGCGGGCAATAGCCCCCCTATATACTGAGATTTGGGTCCCTAGAGGACATTAGAATAAGTCCCTGTGACCCTGAAGAGAACTAAGGCCAAAAAAGGTTAGGCCATCGTTCTCTTTTAACTATTCACAATAATGTGTCGTATTTGTGTATCATTTGGCTATAGATCCTCAAATAATCTCTGAATTGGTGCTGACACTGTCCTTCCTTCTGGAGGGTGGCTACTTTTGTTCCCCATGGTCCCTATGTGTGTTGTAAAGTAGCCACCGCTCCAATCTCACTCCCATGATGGACTACAATCTCATGTTTATTTTACCAATTTGTACTCAGATTGTAGTCCATCACGGTAGCGAACTTGGAGCGGTGGCTACGTTAAAACACACATTGGGACCATGGGGATCGAAAGTTGGCGCCCCCCAGAAGGAAGGAAGGACAGTGTCAGCACCAATTCAGAGATGATTTGAAGACCTACAGTTGAGTTATACACACATAAGATTAATTGTTGTTAATAGTTAAGGTCCTTGAATGCATTTGGGTCAGATACAGTTACAGTGCAAGTTTACAGGATGGCCATTCTAGGGCTAGGATTGAGCAGAGGCAGAAGAAGCAGCTTTCTTGGCTGCTGTGTGGGTGAAGGAGCGTGGGCACATCTAGAATGGGAGCCTTGCTGACCCCCACATTCCAGGCGATCTCCTACCCTGAAAGACAAAGGTATCAAACTGACAGCTCAGTCCTTCAAAAAATTATACAAAATATCAGCTCTCAAAATGTACTTGTCTGGAGGGCTAACTCTGCTCCTAATAAAGAGTACAGAGCATGGCTGTCAAAGTGACAGCAGAGTTCCACTGATTAAACAGGAAAATCTGTGCTCTCCGTGTGTAATTTGCAAGACTGAGCTGTGTCAGGCCAATTCTATTCTGCCTTTATTTATCAATGAGAAATACTGTTGTAAATATTGTTAAGTGTAAAACAAGTTTGTGAGCTTGCAGTTTGTTACAGTAATGCTTAACCAAATGGGGTGAGCAAGTACCACTTCCATATAGGTTAATCAATACATGTGAAAAGAGACATATCATGTGGAACATTTGTGGTACCCAAGCCGTGATATTATTGCTTTTTTAACAAAAAAATACTTTTATGAAGACATATAGCTTTAAAAGCAATACACATCATATAATTTGAAATATGTGATGACTTCATCATGCCAGCAGCACTAGATTCACAGCAACCTGAGAACATGTCTTTGCCACCATTTACCACCTGGACAACTCATAATCTTAATACTTTGTCTCAGGTGCCTGAAAATCTCCTGATTAAGCAATTCATTATATCTGTCTGTGAAATGTGTTGAGTTGTTTGTCTTTTCCACTGGCAAGTTCAGTAATCAACATGGTTTGACATTCATGGACTGTATATATTTTTACAATAATTATTTGGATCATTCTAAGGACAAAATATTAGAATTATGAGTTGTCCAGGTGGTAAATGATAAGCATGAAGATCACCAGCACTCAAAGGACAATCTTAAATCCTCATGTATATTTACCGAAGAAATGCATCACATCTATCAAACAGCCAACGTTTCGGGGCCACACAGGGTCCCTTCATCAGGGCGACATAGTGACCTATGATACCACAGGTGGTAAATGAGGCAATTTTTTAGGTTGCTGTAAATTGTGTGCCTTTGGCATGATGACATTGTCACATATTTCAGATTGTATGATGTGTATTGTTTTTAAAGCTCTATGTCTTAATAAAAGCGTAAAAAAGCAATAATATCACAACTTGGGTATCATTAACCAGTTGACATCCGCGGTGTTAAACCCCCTTCCCATCCAGGCCATTTTTCAGTATTCAGCGCTGCGGTATTTTAACTGACATTTATTCCGTCATGCAGCGCTGTACTGAAATGAATTTTATACCCTTTTTTGGGGACAGATAGAGCTTTCTTTTGGTGGTATTTATTCACCACTGGGGGTTTTATTTTTTTACTATATTAAGGAAAAATTACCGAAATTTAAAAAAAAAAACAGTTTCCCCTATATTAAATGATAAAACATTTATTATTACCCAATTTTTTGGTAAAATATAAAAGATGGGGTCACGTCGGGTAAAAAGACACTAAACAT